GGAAGACAAAGAAACTAGTTCAAAGTAATCACCTCAGGCATGAATGGATGTACTTATTGCCTCTGGAAGACGCTTCAAGTGCTGCAAAAACACAGTAATAATATAAAACTCGCAATATGGTTGACTAATCTGTGTGTGGTGTTTGTCCTCTACTATTACAAGAGACTAACAATTGTCAATTAACAAAAAAAAATTATGGAAATGCTATAGTCCCAGTTACATAAGTATACAAAAAGGGTGCGACCCTTGAACGCACAATTTCAGATATTCAGATGCAGCGGAGGACACATACTCCAGGAGCTTAGTAGATGTGAAAATATCCTCACCTGACTCCTGGAGGCGGCCTACGACTTCGCCCAAGCACTCCATGTTATCGGCTGACGTCGAGGTAACCTTGTCGTGTGTCAAAGCAGCCGAATTAGGCGCTCGGCGAACTGTAATAATTACTGTAATAGAAGAAGGAAACTTGGAAATTTCGCGGCTGTGGTTAGTACGAGTACGTTGGAAAGTGTGATGCGGAGGGAGGCGAATAGGGAGGCGTAGCTCTCGGCGATGGCGGCGGCGTCTCGCTCCACTGCCTCCATCGCCGCCGCCACCTCCCTTGCCCCGGGAGACGTCACCGTGGTCGCGGGGGCAGCCGCGCCGGAGGAGGAGAAGTGCACTGGCAAGGGATCCTCTTGTGAGGCTTCCTCTGGCGCCGGGGGTTTGAGCGAGGAGGCGGCGTCGGCTTCCATCTGGTTTCCCGATCGGGAATTTTCTGTCGAGTGGAACAGGAACGACGTAACAGGGACGAGAAGGTTAGACGGCAGCAGGAATGCAGACGGTGAGGGTGTTGTTTTTTTCATAAAAAGGCTTGCACGGTCCTAATTCTTTCTTTTTTCGAGGATACGTCAATGGCGTGCCACATTTTTATAGAATGCAGAAATTTAATTACACAAGAGCTTGTGAGTGATGCGAACATCAACACAAGTGAGCCAAAACACCTACACCCACAACTACTCAAAAGCCTACTCTCTAACAAAACGGTTTTAAACTCCAACACCTAATTCGGTCTCCTTCCAATCTTTGATCTCGTTCATGATGTGGTTGTGTAGCTCGTCCACAGTTTTTATCGATTTATTCAAATTGAACACCCTCGCCTTTCTTTCCTTCCAAAGCGACCAAGCCACTGCAATTACCAACGTGTCAAAGCCTCTTTTGTCATCACGTGTAAAACTTCTTCTACCTTGTAGCCACCAGTCCAATAGGCTATCTTGCCCATGCGGATGGGGCACCTCCAAGTTTAGACCAATGATGCACTTGTGCCACACCTGTTTGGCGTATGTACATTGAATGTGTATGTGTTCTGCATTGTCTTCCTCTTGCACGCAGGTAAAACAGGCCGATGGTTGATCTTGTAATCCATGTCGGGCTCGTTGATCCGAAGTCCAAATCTGATGTTGGACAGTCAGCCAAACGTGGATTTTGCATTTCAACGGCGCCCAACTCCTCCATATGCATGAAGCATAGGGTAACCTTTCTAGCCCTTGGCATAGTCTGTTGTACATAGAGCGGGCCGTGTATTGTCCAGAAGCATCAGCCGGCCATGCAAATTTACCTGGGGAGCTATCGTCTCGTTGTGTAGTAGCAATGGCATTACATAGGTTGAGGAACTGAATATGGCCTGTGATGGTGAGGTCTCCCTCCACATCCTGGACCCATCTGTTATCCTCCAAAGCTTGTTGGACCGTGCGCCGATTCCGTGTCCGTAGGTCAACCATGTCGTGAATCTATGGTGCAATATCTATAATGGCCAGGCCATGCAGCCATCTATCTCTCCAGAAAAGAATTTTGGCTCCATCTCCCACCTTGATGCTAACAAGACTGTCAAAACTTACCGTGCTTTTTTGTCTACGGTCATATGAATATCCTGCCACGGCCTATCGGGGTTAGTTCTCCGGAACCATTCTCACCTGACTTGTAGTGCCAATGCTTGCAACTGCAGGTTCTTAACATCAAGCCCTCCAAAACAGATTGGTCTATAGATTGTATCCCAAGCGACTAAGCACTTCCCTCCGTTAACTTTCTCCTCCGCTGTCCAGAAAAAAGCTTGAAAGTGCTAGTTATCGACTAAAGGGGGGGGTGAATAGGCGATTTTCATGAAAGTCTTCAAAACTCGGCGGCTTTGAAGACAAACAGGTAAACTGAGCCTATATAGTAAGCAGCGGAATGAAAGCTACACTAGGCAAGCATTAGTCCAACATACAATATAATAAAAGCACGAAGACTAATTGCAACTAGGTAGACGGAGCAAAGGGTTTTTCCTTCCCCTCCTCCCCTCCCGCGACGCTCCTGCGAGCGCCGGGGGAGGGGGGGACCCTAGCCACCGGTCCCCTCGTCCCCACCTCTCCCCCTCCTCACCCCCACCGCCGGCTGGCGCTGACGGGAAAACCCCGGCTGGCGCGGCGGCGGCGGGGCCCCTTCTTCTCCTCTGCTCAGAGTGGCTGGCGCAGGACGGCGGTTCCTGGTGGCGGTGCGGGGCTGCTTGTCACGCCCAATATGCGATACTATCCTAAAGAGACTTGAAGGTCCCACCAAGGATAGAACCGCATATTGAAACGCTTTTGCAAGGTGGATATCATTACATCAACATTACATAATAGATGGGGATACATACAAGAGGCATAGAAGGCCACACGAATACAACATCATCATACATAAGAGCAACATCCGACTACGGATGAAACACAAACAGAAACTCAAACGATATCCACCCTGCTAGCCCAGGCTGCCGACCTGGAACCTATCCCCTGATCGAAGAAGAAGAAGCAAAAGAAGAACTCCAAAACAAGTAACATCGCTCTCGCGTCGTGATCATCGCATAACCTGCACCTGCAACTGTTGTTGTAGTAATCTGTGAGCCACGAGGACTCAGCAATCCCATTACCATGGGTATCAAGACTAGCAAATCTTAATGGGAAAGGAAGGGGTAAAGTGGTGAGGTTGCAGCAGCGGCTAAGTAAAATATGGTGGCTAACATACGCAAATAAGAGCGAGAAGAGAAGCAACGGAACGGTTGTGAAGCTAGCAATGATCAAGAAGGGATCCTGAACTCCTACTTACGTCAAACATAACCCAAAACCGTGTTCACTTCCCGGACTCCGCCGAGAAGAGACCATCACGGCTACACACGCGGTTGATGCGTTTTAATTCGAATCTGGTGTCAAGTTCTCTACAACCGGACATTAACAGATTCCCATCTGCCACATAACCACGGACACGGCTCTCGAAAGTTTATACCCTGCAGGGGTGTCCCAACTTATCCCATCACAAGCTCTCACGGTCAACGAAGGATATTACTTCTCCCAGGAAGACCCGATCAGTCTCGGGATCCCGGTTTACAAGACATTTCGACAATGGTAAAACAAGACCAGCAAAGCCGCCCGATGTGCCGACAAATCCCGATAGGAGCTGCACATATCTCGTTCTCAGGGCACAACGGATAGGTCAGCCTGCGAGTAAAACCATCCCTCGAGTTGCCCCGTGGTGGCCCCGTAGTCTGTCCGTTTCGGACCAACACTCGAAGGAGCACTGTCCCGGGGGGGGGTGTTAAATAAAGATGACCCTTGGGCTCCGGAAACCCAAGGGAAAAGGCTTAGGTGAGGCAAATGGTAAAACCAAGGTTGGCTCTTGCTGGAGGAGTTTTATTCAAAGCGAACTGTCAAGGGGGTCCCATAAATCACCCAACCGCGTAAGGAACGCAAAATCAAGGAACATAACACCGGTATGACGGAAATTAGGGCGGCAAGAGTGGAACAAAACACCAGGCATAAGGCCGAGCCTTCCACCCTTTACCAAGTATATAGATGTATTAATTAAAATAAGAGATATTGTGATATCCCAACATAATCCTGTCCATCATGGAGCAATCTTTAACTTCACCTACAACTAACAACGCTATAAGAGGGGCTGAGCAAAGCGGTAACATAGCCAAGCAACGGTTTGCTAGGAAGGGTGAAAAAGGTTGGAGGCTGACATGGCAGTTTGGGAGGCTTGAAGAACAAGTGATAGGTAGCGCAACATAGTGATAGAACGAAGCAACTAGCATAGCAATGATAGTAGTGAGATCTAGGGTAGCGGTCATCTTGCCTGAAATCCCGCTAGGAAGAAGAACGAGTCCATGAAGAAGACGAACGGATGAAGCCGAACCAAGCGTAGAGGAACGAATCCTCATGATCGCAACAAAACAGGAACTAACGAGAAGGAGCACAACCAGAAAGAAGCAAACAAGGTAAACGCACAACACATAGACATGGCATGATGCACAACCAAACATGATGCATGACAAAGGCTATATGAGGCTACTCATGGCAAGAGATGATGCATACAAGAGCAACATATCAAAGCAAGTTTAAATAAGACCGGAAACAACATATAACAATTCCGGTAAGTCCTCATATGCAAATTTTGAAATTGGTCCAGATCTGAATAAACCTGATGTTCAAGTTGTTAAATAGCAAGTTAAGATGCACCAAGATGATCTACACGAAATTCTAGTCAAGTTACATATAAAGTTCATTTAGTTCGGAGCTACGGCCTAGAAGATATGAGCAAAACAAGTTAAACATGGCATTGATGCAAAATGCATACAAACATCAAGCAAACACATTCAAGACATGGATGCAACAAGGTAATATGAAGCTTCATGCAAAACTAAGCAAGTTTTATATAAAGCACACTCAAAACGGAGCAACGGTTCAACATATACACATGAAACAAGTTTGAAGGACAAGCTGTCCAAAACAGCAACTAGGCATCTAGTAAGCATCAAAACAATATGCTACAACACCTCAACATGAAAACAAAAGACATGGGCATGATGTAAAGGTAAAGCATGACAAAATAAGAACACTGAGCTATCTCCAGAAAACACTATAACATGCTCAAAAGGACATGGCAAGATTGCAAATAATAACAGTTTCACACACAGCAGAAATCACTGTGCATGGCAGAAATAACATCAGGTTGCAATGTTTAGAGCTATCAAACAACATGCTACAGGAACTTATCATTGGAAAGAAAGGCATGGAATGCTATTACTAAAGCCAAAGAACAAAACTCCCTTACTGAACTAATTCCAAAGATCAACAGAAAACATGGTAGCATCCATGCAAACATGGCAAGTAATATGACAGATTCCGACATGGCAGGAACAACGATAAGTAGACATGTTGGTGAGCTTATACAACTCACCACAGAGCAATACATGGCATGACAAGGTGACCAACAGTAAGAAGACACATTTATGGAGCTAAACATGGCAATAACATAGCCATAGGGTGCATGGATCACTAGCAAGACACATGGCAAAACTGAACTTCATGTTAACAGGCTGACAGCAACATTATTTAGCAAGTTGAGAGCAAGATTACAACAAGCTACATCAGCCTATAAATGCAACCAAGGACATGGATGGATAGAGCATGACATGTATAAGAAAACATCCTTAGTGAACATCTCCAGATTATGCATAGAATGACTTGTAGCAGCAGGTTTACATAACATCATAATATAACAGATTCAGCCTATCAAAACAGTCACAGCAAGTACCCTACTTCACAATCTTGATACACTCACTACAAGGCACACAAAAATACATGGATTGCACCACTGTAAGTATGGCATGATGTAGCTCAAAACTCATGCAGACATCAAGCTCATAGAATGCACACACAAAATGCAACGAAAATGACAAAATAGCAAGTTATAATAGTCTCAGCAGGTTAATATCATTTAGCACTCTTGCAACGATGATTAGGGCATCAAGATGGTTCAAACAAGCATGGCACAATGGAATGAAATTAAG